CAGGGACCACCATTGCTGGGATTGTTTACAAGGTGAGGATGTGCCCTCAGTGTTTTTCTTCAAAGGTGGCTGCCTATAGCTCCTGGTCAGCAAACCTGGAAGCTGTTTTAGTGTTTAGGAAGTAAGCTCTCGATATCAGCGAGGTGTGATGAGTGTGTTTCCTGTCCTTGTCCGTCAGGATGGAGTCATCCTAGGAGCAGACACCCGGGCTACAGATGACATGGTGGTGGCTGACAAAAACTGCATGAAGATTCACTACATCGCTCCGAACATCTAGTGAGTAAAACTAGAGTTTGCTTCCACAGCAGGACAACCCTGGCAGAGTCAGACTCAGAGTCCTCGCCCAGTGCAGCTTTTTCTTCATAGTATTTCACTGTATGATTGACTGATTAGTTCAGGGTGGTTGTATTACTTATATTGTCTTATTTACCGGTATCTCACATTCCTTTTCACGTTTCAGCTAAAGTAAGAATATGGGTTAAATATAAATAAAAATACAAATCATCTCCATTGTTTTGATGTCACCTTTGGGATTAGTTTTGAAATTGGATGCGGTCAGTCACCTCTGTATTTTAAGGAGTTGTTGAATCATCTGACCTCTGAGATGAGCCTTGGGTCTTTAGATGTGAAACTGCTGGCTGTCTAAAGATTAAGGCTGAAAATTAAAGGTGCTCGATATTGTGCATACTTAGTATTGTAATAACTGGTCACACACAGAGTGGTTTTCTATTTTGCTAGCAGCAGTAAACACATTTGCTTTATGCCTCTAGGATCAAGCAAAAGTACTTCAGCCGTGTTTAAAATGTTTGACTTGTTAAACTATGCCCTGTATGTTCTGTAGCTGCTGTGGAGCCGGCGTGGCTGCAGACGCAGAGATCACCACACAGATCATGTCGTCCAACGTCGAACTGCACATGCTCAACACTGGGAGACCGCCCCTCGTCGCCATGGTAACTCGACAGCTGAAACAGATGCTGTTCAGGTGAGGATAACAGAAATATGAAGGATGCAAAATCTAAATCACTGAGGATTTATAGTTTCATATATCCTAATAGTTTTCTTGGGTTTTATGATCATCAACATGAACACATGTCCAGGCAGACCTGTTCCTTATTCCTCCCACTGAAGAGACAAAGCATCAAGTTGTTGTGATGTGTGTCTGATTTTTCAGGTACCAAGGTCACATCGGTTCATCTCTGATCGTTGGAGGAGTGGATGTGAGTGGAGCTCACCTGTACAGTGTTTACCCACATGGCTCCTACGACAAACTTCCTTTCCTCACCATGGGTACGTGTTGGATGTGGTGACCACGCTGGGCCAATTTTAGTCAAATTTAATCTGTTATTTCAATAACAAAAATACAGCTGAATGAATATAGTTTCACGCAGACCAGACCAAACATCGGACAAAACATTTTTTCTGATGTTGCGATTCTGGTTTCAGGGTCCGGAGCTGCAGCTGCTGTCTCAGTATTTGAGGACAGATTCAAACCAAACATGGAGGTGAGAATAACTGTCGCCTTTTCTCTCATGGCAGGTGTAATCATCAAATAAAAAGGTGATGTATGTTATAATAAAGATAGAGTTTATACTGAAGGCATGTTGTTCACTGCAAGTTTCATGTGGGAAACAGTCTGTTGTGTAAATATATACCAACAAGGAAAAAGCTGAATCATCTGCGTACAAAAGAAGAATAAATAACTACTTAATACAAGAACACAGAAAAATATTTTTAACATGAAGTTTTATATGTATTAGCTTTTTAATGAAACCCACTTTTGGTGTTTTGCCATCAAACATAACTGCGATAGGTGACAAGAGATGAACTGTCAAGAGACATGAATCCTAAATCAGTAAGCCCCAAAATTAGATCGATGTGCTTCTGCAGGTAGATAGTCGGGTCGAGTTTTCCGTTTTCTAGGTTTTCCAGTAGTACAGAACCGTTTTACCACACTACAACTTTGCTTTTGTTGGATTTAAAGAGTTTAAGACTAAATTGCGGTACAAACCACTGCATTCCCCAATATTTATGAACCTTTAAAATAACACTGTACAAAAGCACTATATTGTTCATTTCTATCCTGTCCTCCAATGTGGCCACCAGAGGATGGATTGCATCTCTAGTTGTTATTCAGTGTTCAGTAACCTACTCTATCCTGTCCTCTTCTTTCTCCATATCTTCTATTAATATGGCTTATTAACATGTTTTTCTCTGCCTCCTGTCACTCTTCCAGCTGGAGGAGGCGAAGCAGCTCGTACGAGACGCCATCGCTGCAGGGATTTTCTGTGACCTGGGTTCAGGAAGCAACGTGGACTTATGTATTATCACCAAGGCTGGAGTGGAGTACCTGCGAGGCTATGACAAGCCCACGACAAAGGGCAAAAGGTGAGACATTACATACATACCTTTTAAAAGAGGAGACCAGTCAAGTGTCTCCTATTTCTTCTCCCTTTAATATTCTGTTATATTAATGTGTTAAAAAGTTCTTAGAGGAAGAAATGAAGCTGTCTTCCTGCTGGCCACATGGTCAGTGGTAATAAAGCTTCTTAATGTTGACATTCTCATCAAGAGATGAGAGGAGAAGATTAATTTAATTACTGAATTTAAATATGTTACTACAATCATCAGTCCAGATCTTTTAAGTAAAAATATTTAAAACCATCAAATAACACTTTGCAAAGCTTTTGACAAGTTAGATATTAGATATGATCCTTTCCCACCTGTCCTATTGTATTACATGTTGGGGGCAGACTGGAGATTCATTGGTCATGCAACCACAGAAACAGACCTTAAAAATTCAATATTATCATTGTGGGACACTGAAGAACAAATATTCTTTGAATTTGTCTAACAGACATGAGTTGCTGACATGATGCGTGTGTGTTTCGTACTACTGTAGGTTTATATTTGTTAGTTTAGTGACGTCCTCTCACTGTATGCATGCAGATGAAATTAGCTTGAAGCTAACTCTGTTACAATATATCATATGCTAACATTTAAGTTTAATGTTGTACAGCGTCCCTTTCAAATTAATTTAATAAATAAACTAAGAGGTTATGGTTAGTTAAACATCTTCCAGTTTATTTTCAAATTCAGAATGAAAGAAAGAAAACTGGTCACATATGGCAAAGACATAGAGCAAAAGAAGACACCGAACTGTGCAGAAAACATTAGTATGGAAGTAACAAAAATTTATAAATAATGGTCAAATTTAAAGTTAATAGAAACAAGGTTCAAAATTCAACTGCTGTGTCCACTAATATAAAACCTGATTTAATCATTTCAAACCGGAATTGAATATTACAGAATTTTAAGGTAATCAAATCAGAAAATATCTCCAAAACAAATTTGACAAAATAATTTAAATCATGTCCTAAAATTGCAAAATGTAAGGAGTGTTTGTGTATTAGAAAAACATTAGCTGGATTACAGCACAGGTTTTGCTGTAGGTGGGTCTATAAAACAGGAAAGCTGTGTAGACAGACACTTTATTGAAACGTTAAACTGAGACCCAACCACACCCAGAAAATGTCCAGCAGGTGTATTCTGCAACAAGAGATTTCTAAAAGTGCTATTTTTGAGTGGATTTGTTTTTAGACTCGTACCGTTTCATTTGTTTGTGTCTGTAATATTGTAGAGATTATGTAAAGACTACGAGTAACTTTAAAGTAGGTTGGAAATCACGTGTGGAAATAGTGTACAGGATAATAATCAGTGATCTAATTTGACATGTAAGCCTCGGCTACTTGTATTGTTGTATGTATTAGTTTTAATCAAATTGTCACAGCTCATATATTTAACATATTCAGTTAACAGTGTAAATATACTTTAAAACTTTTTATTCTAATATGTCACTTGTAGAACTTAAAATCCTAGCTATGGCACTTAGAGTACCTTCAGAGTAGCAATAATATCTCATGAATAGAGATTAATGTCTCCTGTCATTTCTGTGTCTGCCTTTTTTTTTCAGAGAGGGGCAGTACAGATATAAGCCCGGCACCACAGCTGTCCTGACCAAAACCGTGACCCCTCTCTCTCTGGATGTGGTCGATGAATCTGTTCAGATCATGGAACACTGAATAAAATACAATACATGCTCCTGGTGGAATCAAAGCTATTCAATAATACATCAGTTTAGTAAATTAAAAGAAAAACAAGTGGGGTCACATGACAGGTTGTTTTTCTAAGTCATTGACTGGACAGGAAATAGTTTTGCAATAAAAGCTTTTGTTTGTTAAATGATCGGTGCCTGCAAGTTATTTGGTGAAGCACCTGAAGAGCTGGAACACTGTAGATTTTCTGTAGCTTCTATTTTTCTTTCTTATTCTTACTAAAAATTTCCTATAAACAAAACTTCCCACTTCTACACATCAGCACAGCTCTTTAGTCAAATATGCGCAATCTTTTACTAAATATCAGTTGTGGTAAGTTATTCACTGCAACCTAGTCTGGGCTTGGTCCTCTCCTGTTCATCCTCTGCATCCTGCATCCACTCGGAAATATCATACATAGACACAGTCTCATCCAGATCTACATTTCCATCACCAAATCCATCACCACAGTTACCTCTTCCATTCTGACTGATTGCCTCACCGATGTACAAACCTGGATGCAAACCAACTTCCCCCGACATGAATATCATCAGCCCCAAAATCCCTCATAAAAACACCCACAACTTCAGTCTCTCCATCAACAACTCTACCCTTTTTTTACCCCTTTTCACTTTTGAACCTCAACTAAATCACCAGGGGCCACTTCAGCGTTTAATGTGGTTTTTAAAGTTTTAAATGTATTCCACGTGGATCACCTTCCATCTGTTTCCGTTCAGCTTCAGGGTGCATTTCAGCCCCGGACGAGGGGTGCGCTGTTTATCCGAACACCTTCACAGAGTTCTGTGATGTGTGTTCTGCCGCTCACGTCCCCGCCCATTTAGCGAGTTCGGACACTTCTCACCAAGCGCTCCCAAAGAGTTTGTCCCGCCCACTCGTTTCAAGCTGATT